TGATTAAAGAAAATTTCTCCCTTGGTTTGCGTAACTTGAATTCCAAGAAAGTATTTCATGAGTCCTAAGTCTGTCATTTCAAATTCTTGCATCATAAACTCTTTGAACTCATTAATGAGTTTCATATCATTTCCAGTGTAGATTAGATCATCAACATAAAGACAAACAATGAGAAAATGCCCATCATTGTTTTCTTTAATGTAAAGTGATGGTTCACTTGGACTCTTTTTGAATCCGTTATTCATAAAATATTTGTCAATTCTACTATTCCAAGCTCTTGGCGCTTGCTTAAGCCCATAGAGCGCTTTATGCAAACGATAAACTTTATCTTCTTGCCCTTGAATTTCATAACCGTGTGGTTGCTCCACATACACTTCTTCTTCTAATACACCATTCAGAAATGCGGATTTCACATCAAGCTGATAAACATATAATTCTTTCTGTGCAGCTATGGCTAACACTGTCCTAATGGTTTCAATACGAGCTACTGGAGCAAATGTTTCATTGAAATCAACTCCGGATTTTTGAGCATATCCTTTGACAACAAGCCTTGCTTTGTGTTTTTGAATATTTCCGTCTTGGTCTAGTTTTGTTTTATAAACCCATTTTAGACCAATAATATCTTTACCTTCAGGGTGATCAACAAGCTCCCATGTCTTCTTAGCTTCTTAGCTTGTGGGTCTAAGAGACGATAGCCTTTTGATTCATCACTATATCCCACAAAAAGATACTTTCTCCCTTTGGGATCGAACTTGTCTTTACCTTGATCTTTGTTTAAGGCATATGCAATACATCCAAAAACTCTTAAATGACTAACAACCGGTTTTCTACCATTCCAAGCTTCATAAGGAGTCTTGTTACTAACTGCTTTAGTTGGTGAACGGTTGAGTATGTAAATAGCTGTATTTACAGCTTCATCCCATAATGTTTTAGGAAGAGTCTTTTCTTCCATCATGCTTCTTGCCATTTCTACAATTGTGTGATTCTTTCTCTCTGCTACACCATTCTGCTGAGGTGTTCGTGAGACTGTCAATTGTCTTTTTATTCCTTCATTTCTACAATGCTCCATAAAAGGGTTATATATAAATTCACCCCCTCTATAAGTTCTCAATGTCTTTATCATATAACCACTTTGTCTTTCAACTAATGCTTTAAATTGGAGAAATACATTGAAAGCATTTGACTTTTGATCAATAAAATATATCCACATCATACGAGTGTAATCATCGACAAATAATAGAAAATACCTCTTATTCTGTAGAGAACGATTTCTTGTGGGGCCAAATATATCTGCATGTACTAATTCAAGAGGAGCTTTAGCTCTCCATGAAGTTTTTGGGAATGGAAGATGATGCATTTTTCCATATATACATCCTTCACAAACTTGAATATTTCTATCAATGTGTGGTAATCCCACGACCATGTCTTTTTGTTTCAATAATTGTTATCCTTTTTGGTTCAAGTGTCCATATCGTAAGTGCCATAGATAAGATTCATCCATAACATTTGCTTGCAATGCCAGCTTCTTTTGTGGCATATGAAGCGGGGAAACTTTATTATCAGCCATTTGTACTTTCGCCAATATAGTACCAGATTTTTTGTCCGAAACAATGCATTCCCCATTGTCAAAATTTGCTGAATATCCTCGTTGAACAAGTTGCCAAACACTTAGGAGATTATGTGTCAAATTAGGCACATAAAGAACATCATGTATGTATTTTGTGTTATTTGCTTTGCTATTAACAGCAATGACTCCTCGTCCTTCGACGTTTGCCTTTTTTCCATCACCTAAGGTGACTTGATTTGCTACACCCATATCTAACTTGATGAACATGGCCTTATTTCCTGTCATGTGGTTGCTACAACCACTATCGAGAAACCATAAATTGCTAGACTTATTTTGTGCATCCATGCACGTAAGAAATAATTGTTCACCTTCAGCGTTAGCGGTGAAATTCGCTTCATTTGTATTATTTCCATTTTGATGCCAACAATCTTTTTGAGAATGATTTGAATTACGACATCTCTTACATTTAAAATAACATTCAGATGATTGATGGTTAGACTTACCACAAATACGACAAGAATTATTTGACCTTTGTTGATAATTTTGATATTGTCCGCTACCTCTTCCTCTACTTTGTCCTCGGCCACGGCTAAAATTTTGGGTACCACGACCTCTACCATATTGATGTCCTCTTTGGTTTCCCCCTCTTTTCTCTGACTCTCCTTGATATTGTTTGTTTGATATGTTAAGTTGGGATTGAAACGCTTGATCTACAAGTTGATCGGTATTTGCATTTCTTTTCAATTTTTGATCATGTGATTCCAAAGATCCCATCAACTCATGCATTGTGAGAGTTGACAAGTCCTTAGACTCTTCTATTATAAATGTGGCAGAATTATATTTTTCTGTCATACTTCTTAATACTTTTCGAACAACTCTTTTTTCTTCTAATGTATCACCGAGACTTCTTATTTGATTAACTATTTCCGTGACTCGTGAAAAATAAACTTAGATATTTTCTGTCTTTTGCATTTCCGGGTTATCAAAATCTCTCCATAGATTTTGTAATCTAACAGCAACAACTTTTTCATTTCCTAGAAATCCTTGTTTTAATGTATCCCAAGCTTCTTTGGATTTTTTCAATCCATATAAGCGGGGAAATATAGTTTTACTCACGGCTGCATGAATATATCGTAAAGCAAGTGCATCTTTTTTCTTGTTTTCCTTGTGTAGTTTTTATTGTGCTTCATTAGGATTTTCTGGAAGGTCTTCATAGCCTCCTTCCACGAGCTCCCATAAATCTTGGGATATAAAGAATGTTTGCATTTGACTACTCCAATAGTCATAATGTTCTCCATCAAAGATAGGAAGTGTCGGTTGGGAATAAGAGAAAAATGGTGTTGATGTACTGGAAGCCATGATATAATTATTCCGGCTCTGATACCAAATTTGTTGGAGACAGCGGAAGTATAATGGGTGATTGGATCAGATTAATAAGTAATATTTATAAACTATATGAGAAACGAGTAGAGCTGCCGCACCTACTTATATTTATTCTTGAAAATGAAATAATACCGAAGAATATGTTTTCTTTATTATATTCTCTTATATTGAAAATGATATCAATTACAGTTTATATAGGAAAAACTCATCCTAAATAAATAGTGATAGAAAATTTAGGAGCATTATATGCTTTACATTTTATTTAGGTTTTACTATTTTATTATTAGTTTTTCTTAATTTTACTTATCTTAATATAGTTTATACATTGCACAATTAACTTTTATCTCACACTTTCCTGGCTTGTTTTGGCAAATTGTGACTTTTGTGAGTGCCAGCTATATTGATTACATTACAAAGTAGTTTGGGCTATGAAAAGTGTTTTTTTTTTTTTTTTTTTTTTTTTTTTTTTTTTTTACACTTTTAATCTACCTTTGGTATTTGGGAATGAGAGTTTGAACAATATAGATTGGGATTAGGAATTGGAATTTGCAGCTGGGAATCTATAAAAATAAGACCAATATTTACAAAATTATCCATACTAGATTTCTCTCTCTCTCTCTCTCTTTTTTTTTTTCTTTTTTTTTTTTTTTTTTTTTTTTTTTGTCAAATATACTAGATTTCTCCTCTTACCCATTCCTTAATGGCATTTTAGTCATTTTTCACCTCTCAATCCTCATCCTCATCCTCTAATACTTTGATCCCTCGGTAATATTTTGTTGGGAAACGAGGGCATATATTCCCAAATGTGAATCTCTTTCCCGGTCTCTAGTCTCAAACCATGAAAAAATCATGTGAGCTCGTTCTACTCAGTATTATATAAGTCACATTCTCGTCCTAAACTCCCATGTACCAAACAACCCGCTTGGATTCTTAGAAAGAGCAGTACTTGATTACGATGGCTGCTACTACATTACGACCCACTGACCTTTTAATCTATAAAGGGGTATCTGGTCAAATTCATCCCCTTTCTTTTTCCTGGTTACATTACGTTGGTGGTGACTGGTGAGTCTGGTGACTACAAAGTACACAGCAAAGGCGGCTGCTATAAAACAATTACGGGTTTAGGCGTCTACCACTGCTATAAAACCCGTTTATTTTGGTTAGATTTGCCCCCTAACCATGTTTGAAAGTCGAAGAGCTAGCTATCTACTCTAACCTCATATCTCAGTTAGTCCCAATTAACATCATGGGTTGAAATTAACAATTATAATTCAACATGATAAATATAACACGACAAATACAATATATTAAGGAAGCACAATGACTACTACCATTATTGAATATGTTTGGATAGGCAATGATCTTGGAATTCCAATCTCTAATAACACAATTTCACAAAGCTAACTCATCAAATATATCCATTTCAGATAATTTCCTAATAAAGGAATGATGGAAGCACATAAGATCAGATTTAGTAGATTCGATATTAGCTCTTCAAATCGCCAGTGGCTCATCATTCATTGAATATTATCCTAAGCTATCTTATCTCATTTTATAATTTCTTACACTTTCATATCATATGTTAGGATTAAACAATATGATTTAAAGTGTCAAGTGGACTACCAAATATACGCAATCTTTAAAGAGCTGCGGAGCTTACATCACTTAATTAAGTACCTAAGCACACGAAAAACTCGCTAATTAACATTAAATTACACAACATCAATAGCCAAAAGCGACAATGGATGATGCAAAAAGGAAGCTAATCTAATAATGTTTATGTACTAGTCCATGTCCAAAAGATGACATACTAGATAATTAATGTATGATTATCACCATGAGTTCAATTTGAGCCAATTGGGTACCTTTTTATTTATGTATTCATATAAATTTGGGTGTTAATCCACCTATAATTGTTGCCAGGTAAGATTACTGAGTCTTAAAAGTTTTTTTGTGATGTTCTTTGCCATTATTTCATTAGTATAAATAGCTAAACTAGCTCTTAGCAAAGCATCTTCATCTACGAGTTCAATTTCTTCAGACGATTCATAGTCATTGTTTGCTACTATCATAGATATTTGTTTTGTTAACAGTTAACCAACAATGGGGGAAGAAAATCTACGCAAGGGACCTTGGTACGAAGAGGAAGATGAGCGACTCAAAACTTTGGTCGCGGTTTTGGGTGCACGGCGATGGGATACAGTAGCTAAGATATCAGGTTAGTGTTTGCTAATGCATCATTGTAAATGATATTGGTTCATGAAGTATTATTAAAACTCCTTTGTCGTTTATATTTATCTCATATAGTCATATTAGAAAATCAAAAATGAAAATACCACTTTATATGTCACTGGAAGTACTCTTATGATCACTAATTGATTTTAGTATGAAACTTTACACTTGTAAGTAAGTGGATCAATATCTCTTCATTATTAGATTGCGTACCAAATTCTCGTTCTAAATAAATAAAACTATCTATCTACGAGTATTGTTGACATGGATGATTTACATTTTATATTTCAATGTTTTGCAGGGTTAAGTAGGAGTGGGAAAAGCTGTAGGTTAAGATGGTTGAACTATCTTCGGCCTTGTCTAAAGCATGGCTCTATAACTTCACAAGAGGAGTTGCTAATACTTCAGCTACATCAGAGATGGGGTAACAAGTAAGTTTTATGTTTTAAATATCTTTGAAAGTGTGTTCGACAAAATTTTTAAAATGTCACATGTTTTATGTTTTATCACCTACATCATATCAAAACATTACTAATTCCAAATCGCATATGTTACAAGTAGTTTAGTTAATATTTTGTGAAAACTACCAAAATAACCTTTTAGTAGAGCACGTATCATCCTTGGTCAATCCTTGCCATAGTTTTTATGTATCCACTTTAGATTTCTAACGTTTCTTTATTGGATCACTTTCACCAATCGCCATGCCTATGAAACGTTCGCCTTTTTATGGCCATTACGTATTTAACTTGTAAGGATTATTTCTACGAATTTTCATGTGGAAAATTATTAAATTGATTGAAATTGTTTTGTGATAGATGGGCTAAGATTGCTCGAAGATTGCCAGGAAGAACTGACAACGAGGTGAAGAATTACTGGAGAACTCATCTGAGGAAGAAAATGCAAATGCAATTTTCATTATTGAACCACTCAATCTCATCCCCTACACGTAACGTTTCATCGTCTATAGAAACATCTTCTTCAAGTGAGGAAAGAAACAACTATTCCAATCGGTTAGATATGTTGATCCAAGAAGGCAATATGATCACTCCACAAATAAGTAGTAACAATACTAACACGAAATCTACCGATGAAAACATTGAAGCCATAACTAGTAATTATTATGTTGATTGTAATGACAAAGTGAAGGGACTATCAGATTGTATGAACACGAACTTGTGTTATACAAACCGATTATCCGATTGCATGATCACAAGCTCGCCTTATGAAAACCGGGTATCGGATTGGTTGAACACGGTATCAAGGGATGTGGATCAAACTGATAAATACAATCCAGGGTGTTGGGAGATAAGCGATGGTTTACCAGATTTATGTTTAAGTTATCCAACGACGTGGTGTATTGAAGATGCTAGTGCATGGGATTTCCTAGATACCACGTGGGATATGGATTTGTTTAATTAATGTAAATCATCTGTACTTTTTTTATATATTAAAAAGCTTGCTAAAAAAATTTTATGTGTCACATGATACTCTATTCTCATGAAATTATTCAATGTACATGCCGGCTTGCGGCTTTTCAATTAAAAAGTTAAGTGTTTACAATAATGGTCTGTTTGGAAACCATCATTTCATTTCAAATGATGGAATTGTCTCAAATTGCTTGTTTGGGAATTATAAGTAGGAAAAATTGTTCGGAATAATCCGACTTTTGGGCCGTCCGCTAAAAATAATCCCACCTTTGGATTATTTTTAAATAATCCGACCTTTATACTCAATCCGCTCTCAATGGTCCCAAGTAAATTGAAACTGGTTAAACAGGTTACTACTTGTGAGTTGGGATTGTTTATACACGTGTCACCACGTGACTGGTCAAAAATTTAAAAAATAATAATAAAAAAAATAATTGAAAAATTAAAAAAAAAAAGGCTACCCTCTCCGGCAGACCTACCACCGGAACCACCTCCTTACCCAGCCACCCACCTCCCCACCTCCCCACCCAGCCTACCCACCGAAATCGTCCTGGCCCCCTTCCCTAGCCCACCACCTGAACCCCATCCTTTCCCATTCCTAGCACCGAATAATAGTACCCATCACGACCATCAGGAGAATCGAAACATTGCCGAAATACCATCTCCCTTGAGATTTCGGGGTTGGAAAAGAGGAGGTGGTGGGATTTCGGGACTTAGGAAGGGAAGTATGTTGGCTTCGGGCGATTGGGCTAGGTAGGAGAGGTGGTTTCGTCGTTTCGTTGGTGGGCTAGGGAAGGGGGGTGGTCGAAATCGGGGAGGATAGAATTGATGGGGTGACCAAAAACGTGGATGGGAATGGAGGGGATGGCCAAAATCGGGAAGAGGAAGGGAGTTGATGGCCGGAATCGGGGAGGTAGATTGTGGATGGGTAGGAGGGACGCCGGTGGCAGGGGCGGCTGCCGGAATCTGGGCTGGGGTTTTATTTTTATTTTTCTGTTTTTTATTTAATTTTATTTATTTTCCTATTTTTATTTCTATATTTTTTTTTACCAATTATTGGCTGACACTTGTCAAGTAACTTGTAATAACAAGTTGGATGACCGGTTAGGACCATTTAAAGCGGAAGAGGTATAAAAGTCGGATTATTTCAAAATAATCCAAAGGTGAGATTATTTTTAGCAAACGGCCCAAAGATCGGATTATTCTGGGCAATTTTTCCTTATAAGTATTTGCATTGGATATCACCCAAATCCAGTCTTTGAATATTTCATTTAAATTTTCAGAATTTTAAATCCAGCTTTAATACATGTCATTTCAAATCCACTGTTGCCTTCACCACCGTTGCCACTGTCGACAAGCCCGCTTGCAACTTCTTGACACTGTAAATCCTTCACTATTGCCTTCACCTTCTAAAAATGGGTTTCAATACTAAGGCATTTCAATAAAGTACTCCCTCTTATTTTAATTTCTGGTTTATATGATTTATTTAATTTCTAGTTAGAGCATAATTTTTAGAGAGAGAAAAACAGAGGCATGCAAATTTGAAATTCCATGGCCTCAAAATACATAGTGACTCAAAATACATAGTGAATTAATCATAGTTTCAAAATACATAGTGAATTCAAAAATATTAATTTGAAATTTCTAAGTTTATCCAAACAAAGATTTTGGAATTCAATGTCTATATTTGAAATACCATATTTGAAATTCTGAATTTGAAATCAAATACTTGCATCCAAACACCACCTAAGGGGATTTGAGGGAAATAATGGAATAAAAGAAAAGGGTGTCAATATTTAAGGTCACGTGAGAGGTCAACGTCGGAGAAAAAGTCAATGGGATTCTGACCTCAAGGTTCCCCCAAACAACAAAATCAACTTATAAGGTCCTTTTAGACCATTTTAAACATAAAAGGTTCTTCCAGACAAAATTGTGAACATGTATGCCCCTTCTAGACAAATTTCCTATTTTTAAAAATAATTTTCAAATAGCATGCATTCACTTATTTTATGATTTAACATTTTATCATTTACAAAAAACATCATGGAAAATAACAATTCAGGAAATTGCACACTAATCAGAGTTTTAAGTAGTAAAAAATTGGAGTGAATTAGATATATAATTGTAGGGAATATTTCAAGCATTATCCCTAGCTTGAACCCCACTGTGATCATACACTAAAGTACGCGCGGTGGCGTCCAAAGGGAAAGAAGATAGAGCAAAAGAGTCGCCAACAAGTTTTAGGAACTTGTAAACCGTTCACAGGGTGAAGGTTACACCCCTTAACGATCCAGGAGATCGTCAACTCCAATAGGTCTGGAACCATGACTGGTAGTTCAAGGATGAAGGTTCAAATCCAACCTAAAAGAGATTGAACCTGCCCTAATAATAGGCCTCTACTTTATTCTGATCGTATTCATGTGCGCTTTCTGACTAACATGCAATTAATAGGATTAACCCTAAACCTGTTTATCTATGTTGGTTGAATATTAATGCACAAATATATCTATTATTGGCGATCACTTGAATTATAATCAAATTAACCCTAAACAAGATTATTAATTATCTGATTAAGCGTGATTACACGTGTCAATTCCCTTTAAACATGCATAAAAGGTGTGATCAAGCAATAACAATAAATAAATATAATCAAGCAACATAATAATAATATTCATCACAATAATAATTATAATCAATAATCATATTAAAGCATAATAGCAAGATCCTAGGCATGATACTAACAAGATTAATAACAAACCCTAGCATGTCACTAAACATCAAAGATCAAATATATAGCCCTAACACGATACTAACATGAATATTAGGAAAGAATATAGGAAGCATCGCAGGAATCATAATAAGCATATTTGATATTATAACCTTTTCCCTAAACATGATACTAGGAAAATCAAAACACCCTAACATGACATTAGGAATTATAATAACAACCTAGACATGATTTCTATATCATAATAACAATGAAAACAATTAAAGTACTTACTTCGATGCCTTGTATTTCTTTCTAATAAAAAAATACACACGTTAGTAACTTCAAGGAAAATATAAAATCAAATAATTAAATTAAATAATTGAAATAGAGATTAGGGATCAAACCCTCAGAAATTAAAACCTTTCACGTCCAAGGCGAAGGCAACTTCGAATTTGGCTAGGTGTGTCTAGATCTTGTGAATGCGGAATTTTGTATGAAAAATGATTGGTTTAGAAAGAGAGAGAATCAAGAAATTCTTGATGAGAGTTGATGAGAAGAATTGATGATAATTGATGATTGAAAACAGAATTTTAAGAGGGTTATTTATAGAGAAAATCAGTCGAATGAAAACGAATCAGAGTTTCAACGAGAATAAAACTCGATTAGCGCCAGACGCTGGACATTAGCGTCAGGCGCTGAAGGTTAGCGCTAGGTGCCAAGCCTTAGCGCCAGGCGCTAATGCTTGTCGTCAGGCACTAATAATCAGTTTCACGCGTTATTGTTTTTATCATATCTTTTGATCCAAAAGTCCAAATAAGGCATATAATATGTCGTTAGAAAGCTATTGAAGTCTAATATCCATCTCAATTAGAGTCAGATTAAAATATTTTGTAGATAAAAAGATATGGCCGAAATAGTGGAAGGGTGTCAGTTTTGGATAGAGTTTCATATTCCATTCATATCTTTTTGGTTATAGCTCGGATTTAATATTATAATATATAATTGGAAAGATAATTTCAAGATCTATCAAACCATATAAAATTTGGATAAAGATTATGATGCACAAAAATAAAATATGAATATATTCCATTTCGTACAAAACAAGAATTCTTAAAAGGAGTAGTTTTATTCAATTTCAAACTCATTGAAACATAATTATCAATCCTAACTCCATTAGGATTTAAGAGAATATTCTAGAAGACTATGATTAATCCTATTAGCTTTAGGAATGATAATTAATAATATGCCCTCCCCTAGATCATTGGGCCGCATATAAAAACCAAATCGGACCCAGTTTAGTATTTTGGTCATAACTTCCTCATTATTCGTCGGAATTGGGCTTATAATATATCATTGGAAAGGTCTTTTCAAGCTCCATCCAAATACACTATTATTGGACCCTTATTATGGACCAAACTAAACTGGAATGCACGTTTTTCATAAATAATGTAAGAAAAGAAATATTTTCAAAAATAGAAAGAAGAGATATTTTAAAAAAAACATCCTCGTCACTAGACTTTTCACACTTTCGCTTTGTTCGATAATCAAATGACATGAAAGGTATTCATCACTGGGTTTGGTTTTGGGGAGACATATTTGGGTGTCTACAACAATGTACCAATTTGTATGGATGAAATCGTTTGAATAGAGGTGTCAAATCGAGTACCCAGATGGAGTTTGGGTTAGCCCATGATGGGTTGGAGTGTTTGGATCGGGTACTGACGGGTCATTTTATCCTAACAAACCAATCAAGTCGGATCAAGGTTAATTAATTATATTCGAGTCAAAGGTGGGTCTAAGGTATGATCAAGTACAAATCGAATACGGGTCAAGTTGTATTCGGGTCGAGTCATATCGAGTTCAATTAAGCTCGGATTCATATTTAATTGGGTTTATTTGGGTCAAAATGGATTTGATAGACTTTGAATCAGGTCATTTCTAATTTGGTTGGATATCAGTTCAAATCAATCATGTAATTTTAAACTCATTATAGAACTATTTTCTATATAAGTATTTTATTATCTTTCAATCCTATCAATCCCATTTTTAATTGTTAGTAGAATTTCTCTCTTCTACTAACAATTTAACATAACCTCAATTAACAACACTTTATAATCAAAATCCCACGGTCACCACTATAATAAAAAAAATAGTAAACTAATTAACTCCTAAGATTTGGGTCAGGTAAGTAGGGTTGCGTGTAGTTTTGAATCGGGTAAAAAAAAGGTCGGGTAAAATGAGGTATTTTTCGGGTGTAACTGGTTTTGGGTAGATTTCGCTTTGGGTTAAATCGAATCTAGGTCTTAAATTGTCGGGTTTTCTTGGTTTTAGATAAATAATGAGTCGATACTAAGTTGGGTTTGGATCATAAATTTCCGGGTAATATCGATTTCAAATTAACTTCGGATTGATTCCAAATTAGATTTGGATGAGAACTTTTCAGGTACAACCAGTTCGAAAGCAGTTCGGTTTCAGGTAAACCTTTCGGACCGGGTAAGTTTTTGACACCCCTACGTTTGAATGCCAAAATTGTCCAACTGAATGAGATTGAGCACTGTTGAGGCAAATATTGTTCTTTGCTAATAAGTTAAATACTCTATCTTTTTCTACCTAACAATATTGATATTTTTTAAAAATAATTTTCAAATAGCATGCATTCACTTATTATATGATTGAACATTTTATCATATACAAAAAAATATGGAAAATAACAATTCTAGATATTGCACATTACAGAGTTTTAAATAGGAAAATTGGAGTGAATTGGATATATGATGTACCAAAAATAATGTACCAATTTGTATGGATGAAATCGTTTGAATACCAAAATTGTCCAACTAGATGAGATTGAGCATTATTGAGGCAAATATTGTTCTTTGCCAACAAGTTAAATATTCTATCTTGTTCTGGAGTATTAGGTGGCTGCCCCTTGAGTTACCGGTTTCAAACATTGATAACCTTGCTAACATAACACACAAACAATAAGGAAGCTTTTCCAAAGAAAGTAAAACAAGTTAGATTAAGTAGATAAACATATGACAAAAGCTACGAATGCATTAAAGGATAGAGTCTAGGTCTATGATTGTATAAGTTGAAGGAGAGGTTAACTCTATGATCATACAATTAGAAAAGACGAATGGTATTCAATACATTCTAAGAGAAAACTAAACTATTGCTTGGCTACTAAGCCAAAGAAAACTACGAATGCTAAGAAGAAAGCTTAAAAGAAATGAAATGCTTGTTGATGATTGATTTGTTGATATCCTTCTTTTAATCTTCATACTTCCATTTGTAGGCAAATTGGAGCAGTTATGGCTGCATCCCACAACTCTTGATGCCAACTCTTTTTAAAAATTAAATTACCTATTTTGCCTCCAAATTGGCTTTTAACATTGAGCCTTTAGATGATATTAGCCTAATTTTCATTACATCCCTATCAGTTTGGCCCGAAAGCCTTTTCCTGACTCAAATACCCAATTTGCTTGGTCAAAGTCAAGAAAAGTCAATAAAAAGTTAAAAATTTGATTTTTGGGAGTAATAAGCACTAAAAAAATCAAGAGTTTTTTATTTATTTATTTTTTATTTTTTTTTTTGTAGTCTAATAGAGTTCTCTTTTCCTCTCTCCTTTTGGAGGAAGAATTTTGTATACCAAGGAAATCAAAACATGGAAGGCAATCAATTTAAATGGATGAACATACCCTCGCATGTATTCAACGCTTTTA